CTCACTGTCCCCCAGCTTAGTGCAGACCTGGCAGGGAGAGGGTCCCATGGTGCAGCACGTCCCCAGCCTGCCAGCCCTTCCTGCCAGCTTTGGGGGCTGCCTGCTGCTGCCCCAGTTTGCTCCCTCCCTCGGGTCCTTCAGAGCAGCGGTGCTGGGGCTCTCCAACCCACCAGGGGGGAGAGCAGATGCTGCCCACATTGCAGTGGGGGGGTCAGGGACACCTGGGCACTCAGTGTCCCCTCCCTTCACCACACCAGCCCCATGTGGCCAGCTGTACCAGCACTGCCAGAGCATGTCCTGAGCCGGGGAGCAATTATCCCTGACTGGACTGGATGTAATTGCATGAGAACACCGTGTGCATCCACGGGAAGCAGTTGTGCCTGCACAAACACCCCATGCCATGGTGGCATCAACACCCTGGGGCTGTGATGTGTCACATCAGCTCCTGGGGTGACACAGCCCCCAATCCCCTGGGGGCCTGGAGCTCTCCCTGCTCCAGAGCATCCTTCCCTCAGCAGCACCACACCTGCCACCCCTCCCTGTGCCTGCAGTCCCATGGCAGGGACAGGGCAGGTCCTGTCACCCTGGAGCCAGAGGGGAGTCAGAAGGCATCCAAAAGGAGTCAGGAGTGACTCCAGCCCACAATGGAACTGAGCACTCTGAGCCCAGCCTGGGTGCAGTGTGGTTCTGGGGCTACAGCCACGTCTTGGGCTCCGGCAGGGTTTGGAGCAGGGATCACCAGAGACCACCGGGGATCACCAGGAATCACCATGAACGAAGCAACAGCATTGGAGACAGCAGGTGGCTGCTCACACCATGGGGTCAGGGATTACAGGGAATTAGAGCAGGTTTGATTGGATTAGGCTGGATTAGAGGGCAGGGAAGCCACCCCACAGCTCAGGGGGGCAGGTTCTGGTGCCTGCTGGGAGCAGTGTGCTCAGCACTGGGGCAGCACGTGCTGGACGTGGGTACAGGCACATCCCAGAGCCGACCCTCGGCCTTGTCCTCTGAAAGGATTTCAGTCTGAGCATCCCAGCTGAGGGGGAATTGGGGTCAAAGCCCTACAAGCACCCCTGGGCAGATGGAGTGGGCAGGGGGGTCAGAAAGCTGCTCTTTTCCTGGGAAATGGGGATCTGGTAGCAGCCAAAGTGGGACACCCCAGGGTGACAGGGATCATCCATGGAACACCCCCAGCATTGCCTGGGATGGCAGCACTGCCTGCCGAGGGTGTCCATGCCAGGACTGGGGCAGCTCCCCGTGATTCCCATTCCCCTCCTCCTCCTGGAGCTGTTGCCAACCCCTCTCTTTGGCTGTGTCCCTCCAGGCTTGGCTGACAGAGATCCATGAATACGCACAGCAGGATGTGGTCCTCATGTTACTGGGAAACAAGGTGAGCCTGGCCCCAGGGCTTTGCCACAGCCTCCTCTTCCTCCCACGCTGGAGCCACAGGCAGGGGAGCCTGGAAGGGCATGAGGGGACAGGGAGGTACACGCTGGTGACCTTCCAAATCCCCACAAATTGCTCTTTGCCATTCCTGACACAGGTGGATTCAGCCCAGGACAGAGTGGTGAAAAGGGAAGATGGAGAGAAACTCGCCAAGGTAGGTGAGATACCTGAGGATGTCCCTGAGGGTGTGCACAGGAAATGGTCACCTGGAGACCAGCCTGACACAAAATACACCTGAGAACACTTGGCTTTTTTTCCCTTGTCACGCTCTCTCCTTTTTCCTCATCTGTTCTTCTTCAAGTTTCTACTAACACCTCTTGCTTCTTTGTCCTCAAATATTACTCCCCGAGCCCCGGGACCACCCTTGGTGCCACTCCTGTCACAGCTGTGTCTCATCCCACAGGAGTACGGAGTGCCCTTCATGGAGACCAGCGCCAAGAGCGGCCTCAACGTGGAATTAGCGTTCACAGCCATCGCCAAGTAAGTGACCAGAGCAGTGGCCTTGTCGTCATGAGGAGCTTTAGCAGTGTCCAGGCCATGCTGAGATCAACTGAGCTGGGCAAGGCAGCTTGGAATCACAGAATCCTGGGATGGGATGGATTGGAAAGGACCTTAAAGCCCATCTGGTTCCATCTTCTGCCACGGGCAGGGACACCTTCCACCCATCCCAGGTTGCTCCAAGTCCTGTTCAGTCTGGCTTTGGACACTTCCAGGGATTCAGGGGCAGCCACAGCTTCTCTGGACACCCTGTGCCAATGCCTCACTATCCTCACAGGGAAGAATTCCTTCCAAACATCCCATTTATCCCTGCAGTGGAAAGCCATGCCCCTGTCCTGCCACTCCATGCCCTTGTCCAAACCCTGTCTGGCACCTTCCAGACCAAATCCTCTCCCTGCCAGAAGCAGCAGCAGGAGTAACATCCTTCCCCTTTCCCAGGGAGCTGAAGCACAGGTCCATGAAGCTGCCCAACGAGCCCAAATTCAAGCTCCACGACTACGTGAAGAAGGAAGTGCGAGGCTCGGGCTGCTGCAGGTCCTAACACGTGCTTGTACAGAGACTCGGGCCCATGGGCAGTGTGTGCATGTCTGTCTGTCTGTCGTGTCTGTGTCTGCCCTGAAGGCCAGCTGAGACCAGAGCACAGGAGCAGCAGGAGAAGCTCTCGGATTCTGCAGCCCAGTCACATCCATCGGCTCCAGCTCCCCTTGCCAGCATTCCTGCACAGCTCGCAGGTGGGAGGTGGATGTTTGGGAAGGGGCTGGGGTCTCCTTCTGTGCCTGCTCTGTGAGGCTGCTGTAACCCTTGTGAGAGCCAGGGTGTGACACAGGGGAACCAACACCTTCTCCCCACCTAGGAAGAAAAAAGTCCTGATTTTTTCTCTGGGTAGGAGGAAGTCCTGAATTCCCTTTTCCTTCCCTGTGTAGCTGGAACTCAGCTGAGAGCCCTGGCCTGGGGCATGCAGGAAGGGTGTGTTTAAAGGCACACATTTTTGTAGTTGCTTTCTCCTGTCTGTCCATCCCTGTGAGGTGGGACATGCTTCCAGTGAGGGATTCTCCTGTTCCCTGCAAAGGCAGAGCTTGGCTGTCTGAGTGAGCTCCTGCCCATCTGGCTGTGTACAGAGATTTCTGAATGTTCATCCCTTTGGGAAAGGCTCTGCTTCTCCTCCTTCTGCCCTTTCTAGTACTTTGAGAAGAAACCTAATGTATTGCAGCTTATTCTAAATACCTTCCTGTAAGTGTGATGGTGTTTTCAGACTGCAACAACGCTTTGATATCTTCAAAGTTCTCTTGGGCAGCTCTTTCTTTTCACCGCAGAGAGCTGGGGGGAAGCTGCAGGCAGTGATTTTACAGGCTGCAGACTCCTGCCAGCTCTCTTCAAGGGCCTCCTCACCCCTTTGGTCTGTGTCAGGCTTTTGGCTGTTTTTTTTGTCAAGCTGCACTTCTCAGTACAAATTTGAATCTGGATGAAGTGTTTGGCCTTTAGCAATTCTTCCCTTTGAAAACTCCACGCACACATCAGCAGGTGCCTGCTGCGCCGAGCCTCGGTGGCTTCTCCAAATGAAACAGAAGAACCCATCCTTTGCCCTCCAGCCAGCACCAGCCCCAGCTGCTGACTCAGATCCCCCTGCCCCTCATTTTGCCTGGGATTTTGGCTCCAGCACCACTTTCCTGATGGGCACAAGGAGCCTGTGCAGCTCCCACCTGCTCCCAGCTTCACTCCTCAGGGAGCTACAGCTACACGAGCAGCTACAGCTTCACGGGGTGAAAAAGGATTTTAAAATGAACCTGTTCTTTTTCCCAAAATAGTATTTTTAGGGGAGAGACAAGTCTTAAAATTGTCTTCATTTAAATTTCAAAATCACTTGTGGAAAACCCATTCCTGCAGGAACATTCCTGGCAAATCCTGCTGCCAGTCCTGCAGGAGCAGCCAGATGAAGCTGTGATGGGGGGGCTGTCAGGGCCCCCTCATCCCGGTAATTTGGTTTTGTGTGGGGCAGGAACAGGAACATGGAACAGCCAGGCAGCTCCAAGACTGTTTCCTTATCCTGCCCTTGGAGCAGTAGCAGCCCCATCCTGCAGTGACAAGGAGTCTCCCTAAAGGCAAAATTTATGATTGCTAATGGATTAGGATTCCTAATGTCAGGTTGCTACCTTCCCTCTCCCTCCTGTCTGGGTCACAAAGCTGACAACTGCTCACCTCTTGCTCAGTGTGGGACTAAAAACAATAAAAACTCCTTTAAATGAGGAAGATGTATATGTTTCCCTTCGGAGCACTTCCAGCCTGCCTGTGGGGAACACACTCTGCTGCAGCAGAGGCCTCACAGCCATGTTTGTAGTTTACACCTAAACCTGGAGCAGGCTCAGCCCCTCTCTCCCAGTCACCAGTTCCCAGTGTGGGACTGTTTTCCCAGTGCCTCACACTGGCCTGGCCCCAGAGCTCCTCCTCACGGCCATTTGGGATTTGATTTTTCCATGGGGCTCTGCTGCCACCACGCGGAATTGCTCAGCGTTAATTATTCGAGTTAATTGCTCAGCCACGTGCGAGGACTCGGCCTCACCTGCTACATCTCATTTCTGCTGGCTCTTGTTTACAGCTTTTCGTTCGTTCCTGTTAATAAAATTTTTTAATAACCTCCATGGCTCGGTGTTTTGATTGTCTAAACACACAGCACTGTCAGGCATTCAAATATTTCAGCTCAGCCTTGAACCCATCTGGATCCACGTGGCAGAACTAGGGTATAATCCAGTTTAAACTGGATATTGGGGGAATTTCTCCCCAAAAAGGGTTGTCCAGCCCTGGCACAGCTGCCCAGGGCAGCGCTGGAGTTCCCATTCCCGAAGGGATGGAACAGCCACGTGCATGTGGCACAACAGTTGGACTTGGGCCTCAAAAGTCTTTTCCAACCAAAGTGACTCCAAGATTCCAAAGAAGAGAGTGGGGCTGAGCAAAGTGCAGCAAATTTCAATGCACTCCAGTTCCACCGGGTACCCACAAGTTTTGTCAGTCTGTAAAGTTATGTGTCACCCATGGAAACTGTGATAAACAAAAGCAAAACCCAGACTTTACAAAACTTTATTCACCCACAAGCTACAAAATTTGTTTTATATAGAAGCCAAAGCAGAAATACAGCAGTAAATTAGGAATAAGGCTGGTCTTGAGACTGGTAAAACATTATAGGAGTACCTTGTTATCTTCCACGGAGCTAAACAACAAAAAAAGGGTTTAAATTGTCCATCTACACACTGTAGCATTGAAGTTAAAAGTGTAAATCCCTTCATTTACTCACACTACTGCACCCATCACCTTGCCCAGACATTCACCTTGAACTAACCCATGAAGGCGAGTTAAAGTCGGTGAATTCTTTCCTCCAGCCCATTCTGCTGCTGCATCTTTGCGCTTCCAAGTTGTAGAGGATTTCCCTATGGGGCTCAGCCCCACTTACCGCAAACCCCGGAACAGGGGACAGCGTGTTTTAGCGGCCCAGAACGCCGGGCCCCGCCGCGGATCGGGCACGGAGGCTCCGGGACGCCGCCACCGCCGGTTCCCACCGAGCCCTGAGGGGAGAAGGCAGCGCGTGAGGGGGAGGTTCCGACCCCCCGCTCAGCCGGGCCGCGGTACCGCGGACCTCAGCCGTGGCTGCTCAGCAGGGGCTGCGGCCGCCCGCCGCCCTCAGACGAGGTGTCAGAAAGGTAAATGTGGATCATCACCGGCCCGCCCTCGGTAATACCCCC